CCAAATCCATCAAAAGCCTCTTCTGCTCTGTTGAATTTACATTGGCACGTATTCTCTGTGGTTTATAAAATAAATGAAATGACAAAAAATTTCATATGACCAGTAAAATTACACTTAAACAGGGAGAACTGTTTTTTCACTTACTTTGACAGCCATTATAAAGCCCGTAGGTTCATGTTGCATTTTGTAAACAAAACCATATGCTCCATGTCCGAGCTCCATTATTTCTTTTAAATCATCTGCAATACATTCAAAGTCCTGTAACAAGCATAAAAAGAACAAGAAATATTGGTTACCACTGATATACCATAAATGGTAAGAAAAGCAAACTTCATTTTGTCAATAACTTGGAGTATTTGACTAGGTAACCAATGCAATGTAAGATTTTGCTGCCAAGGGAATAATCATGGTCCCAAAACTAATTTATAAATAGCTAACAGAGAGAAAGAAAGAGAGAGAGAGAGTGCAAGAACAACATAACTTGAAGACTGTTGATTAATTGGAAACAAAATACCAACCTTGCCATTAACAGTAAGTGTAGCCTTATCACTCAAATTCCTAGGTGGAGTGGTACTGAAAAATTAGGTGGGATGAAATGAGAATTAAGTTCCACAAAGTAAGTGACAGACTTTCAAGGTGATGTTTAAAACGCTAACAATTACAATCTTCTAACACATGTATTTTGATCAATACTATTTATGTTAATCTAAAAATAAATCAAATATACCAAAGTTAGCTTAAAACATCTCCTTTCACACAGACGATCAGACCCTAACCTTAACTGCTAACCCCTAACCCTAAACTAACCCTGTAACAATTTGTTATCTGAAATAACAAGGGCTTCCCTTTCGGGAGTTAATGACAAATAGTTAATCAATAAACTCTAAAGAATTATCCTTTGCCCCGGCTGATCCAAGTTTTGCCATCAACAACTTGGATATGCTGTGCCAGAGGAATGCAAAACAGAACTTAAATAACACTTACGATGGGGATGTAGTAGGTGATGGATGACCTTTCGTAAAATCAAATTTTGGCTTTGGCTTTTTTGGTTTCTTTCCTGCAATTAACAAATTGATGCTTCAAACTCACTACACAGGCAAGGGTTAAATGTAATGCACTTTCCAGTCAACACTTCCCTCATTAGCGATACACAAGGACAGGAGTGATATCTACGCAGCCTGAATACCAGTTTGAACAGAACATTGTAAGCTTACAGCTGTAACTTCATTAGAATAACCTTCAGGCATACATAGTTTTTAAAAATTCATTGTATTTATTGAAGATTTTAAATGTAAGTGATTAGACCACAAACACCAAATGTTAACAGCCACTGAACACTTTTCTAATGTGCATGTTTAGCTATTTCATAATTTTACATCTTGGATGTTGCACTCAGTCTTGTACACAATCCAAAGATAAGGCCACACGATGCATTTATTGATAGGAGAAAGTGAAAATTAAGTGACTCAAATTTTACCACTGTCCGGATAGCCAAAGCATTGAACATTTAGCTTCACTAAAAGTAGAGTTTCTTTGGTGTAAATCCATGCAAAGTGAATGAATCACTTATTTTCTGAACTGACCATTAAGCTGAGATCACTCATGCGTCCGGATTATTACATTTGCAAAATAATTATTAACAACACGTTACGTTTAATGCAGGCTGCACATGTTGGTTTATTCATAAGGACAAGAACATTATTCCACAGACAGCTATAACTCGCGTGGTAGATAAAAAAAGACCTCTGTCTTTAAGAGTTGTTTTTACTCCTAACCTCCTTTAGGTGAACTGGACATGACTCTCGTCGGATCTCTGGATGAAGTAATATGAAACATTCCACATGAGAAACTTCAATCTAACATTGACTCATGAATATGGTAAATAAAAAGCACTTCCTAGCTTACCTTACCTTAAAATTTTGGCCTGCAGGTCGTTCTCTAGAAACTCTTAACCGGAACAACTGACGGAGGAATTCCCTCCTCAGCTCGGCGTAAGGTAACGCGATTGGAAATTCTTTCTCATAGTCGTAATGGCAATATTTAGAACAAGAATTAATCCATTCAAGGCGGAAAAAAGATAGGCGGAGTGTGCGACGACCGGAACGGTCAACAAATTCAAATGAACTTGCGATCTAATAAAGCCAGCGGGTATATATTTGACTCCAGAATATGTGGTGTAAAAACATCGCATCTCATGTTTCTTATCCGCGTTATTTTTCACCTCCTCAGATTTTTCCTGGTAAGACTCTCTCCGACAAGACTTTATTTTTCGTCGCGATTTCTTCTCCGGCACGATTTTTTGCCCCGGCACGAATTTTTCCCCGGCTGGTATTTTGCAGTTTTTGCTAGAGGAAAACGAATCAGATCTTTTTTCCTGGTATTATAATTATGGAAGTGTCTAGAGAATTTGAATTCGTGTAGCAAGTATTCTGGGGCTAGATTGTTAAAGCATTTATAGACTAACATACAGTTTTGATAGCTTCTGCGTGCCTGTAGGCTGAGCCATGAAAACGTGAAATGCAACTCGCTCTCTTTAATTTTCCAACATTCAATGATGCCCGCAGCACGTCTCTGTAGCTTATCAAGGTAGTCTTTCTTAGTGGCACCAGAGTTAGTAGAGGGAACCCTCTATTAACTCTGGTGGCACTACATCCATCCTATACACAGAGTGGAAAAATCATCGAGTTGTTCAGTGTGATACAAGCCTCACGTGGTGAGTTTACGCGCTCTGCGAAGCATTCCAAGCCTGGATGATATCTTGTTGGCAATGTGATCTATATGCTCGCTCCAGGAAAGGCATGGGGCAAGAACAACTCCTACTGAGATACTTAAAGCTGAAAACTCTTTCAAAGACATTGTCATTGGCATTGGCGGTAAAGCTTGTGGTCATGCGCAGTCTCTGAGCTGTACCAATTAGCATTACCTTGGTTGTTTTTAAAATTGTGGAATAGGTAGTTACTTGACAACCAAGTTATAATCTGTTCAAGGTCTGCGGATAGCTTAGATTCTGAATGGTGTCGACCTGCTTGAAACTGAAGTATATCCGCAGTGTGTCATCAGCGTAGAGTTGAGTGTTGCAGTGTTTGACTACAGTTGGTAAATCTTTTATGTAAATAATAGTTTAGTTTTAGTTCAGTTTAATAGATTCGCTACAGTTCAACAAATACAAATAACTAATCTACATTACACAATACCAAGAAAGAAAAAGTAAAAAATGGAGTGGCAGGAGATAGGAACAGAACTTTCGTCCCAACTGACGCCTAACCCCTATTATATAACAAAAAAGTAAAAGGATACAATGAAAAGGCTAAAAAGAGTGACAAGAAAGGCAAGTTATTTAAGATTATAAGGTACTAATCTGGAGGGCTGTATGAGTCAAGTTTGGAAAAGTATAGTTGTTTAATTTAGATTTAAATGTTGGGAGCGAGGTTAAACATTTCACGTTGGGTGGAAGAGTATTCCACAGCCCTGCAGACCTATTAAAAAATAATTTCGAACTGAAAGTAGTCCTGTTTGTGTTTCAATCTTACATTATAGTTGTTTGGATCATAGTTGCGAGTTTTATAACAAGGATTAGAAGTGCACAGATAATCATGGATATCCGTAATCAGGCAATTTCTTGATTTGAAAAATAGTAGCAGGTCTGAAATCTCTCTGCGGTGCTCTAAGGGTGTAGAAGGTAAGTTCAGTTGAATAAGTCTCTCAGTATAAGAAATGTCTTGGGGATAGCTCAAAATGAACCTCGTTGTCCTACGTTGGACATCTTCTAACAGCTTACAATACTTGACTGTGTAAGGTGACCACAGGTTACTGTCATATTTCAGTTTAGGTCTCACGAGGGCAGACTAGTACAGGAGTTTTCTGATGGTGGGCTGAGACAAGTCCCGGCAAGTTCTTTTGATAAGGCCAAGGGTTTTGTTGGCCTTCGCAACAATGTCTTCAATATGCCTCCGCCCATGAAAGGTCGTTAGCCACGGTGAAACCTAGATCCGTGATGGAGGAAATGCACTCAAGTTGTCGATTGCCAATACTGTAGTTCCTATTGTGAGCCCCAGTGGGTGATCTGAATTCTTCTTGGAGATATGAAGAACCTTACATTTAGTTGGGTTGAATTCCATAGCCCAGACCCGGCTCCAGTCATCGGGCATGTCATTTATGTAAGAAAGGAACAACAGGGAGCCAAGAATAGACCCTTGTGGCACACCAGACGTCACTGGCAATCAATCAGAGAAAGACCCTTCAGGGACAACCCTTTTTAATAAATAGTAACGGGCCTAGTATGGATCCTTGTGGCACACCGAAAAGAATTGACTGAGCGGGTCAGATTGTGTGTCATTAAAAACAATGCTCAGGGTACGATTTGATAACTAAGCATTGAACCACTGCACTGAATCCAAAGGACTCCAGCCTCTAAAATCTATCAAATCGCTCAAATTTGTTATTTAGAACCACAGAAACGACAATACACAGCAAGTGAGGTAGGTTTACATTTATTTTGAGCCTTAACATAGACATTCCTTGATATAAGTTTACGATATTACGACTCTTCAATATTCTCCCATACATTTCTTTATATTTCGAACAAACGACCAGACACGCCGCTTGTGTGGGCCCCCTGTGGCCTTGTGTGTTAATAAAAAACAATGTGACTGTTAACGTCTTCACCAAAGCCTGCAGTAGTGCCCATAAAATTTGGACGAGATGACGTCAAATCTTTAAGGTAAACCTTCTTAGGTACTCTTGATTTACAGACCAATAAATTGCTTAGGGTTAGACCAGAAAAAGTCGTGCCGAAAAGAGTCTTGTCGGAAGAAACCGTGTCAGAAAATTTAAGGTCGTTCCGGAAAAGTAAAGTCGTGCCGGGAAAAATAATGAGGTGGTGAAATATTAATGAGAAATATGAGATGGCACTTACTGGGCTCCGAGGAGACCACTTGCTGACGCAGGCCCAGGCCTAACGCACCTACATATACTCGACGAACAATAATATTACTTACATCATCAAAATCAGAGTTATGGATGTCGCAGGAGCATTTATGGGCTGGGATGGTTCATCTCCTTATTCGCCTCTGTCGCATAGTGACCATGTTCTGGAAACAATGAACAAACACAGAAAAGATTGCCTTAAGCTGTGTGATGTTGTTCTTAAAATTGGAGACGAACATATTCCAACTCACAGGGCGGTATTGGCAGCCTGCAGTTCGTACTTCTACGCCATGTTTACGAGCGATCTGGTTGAGAGCCGACAAAAAGTTATTACTATGAAAGATATAGAAGCTTCTGTGATCCAAATGTTAGTGGATTTTGCTTACACAGGAAAGCTTGATGTCAATGTCGAAAATGTGCAAACCATATTGTCAACGGCATCGTTGGTGCAATTTCACGAAGTGCGAGATTTATGCTGTCAATTTTTGGAAACACAGTTAGATCCTTCGAACTGCTTGGGAATTAGGAAATTTACTGAAACTCATGGCTGTACAAATTTCCTTGAAGTTGTGGACAATTATGTGTTGAAAAATTTTCGGGAGGTTATGAAATCAGAGGAATCTGCTTTGCTACCGTGTGAGTTACTGGTGAAAGTGATCTCAAGCGATGACTTGAACATTATTGCTGAGGAAGAAGTGTATGAAGCGGTAATGTCTTGGGTTAAACATGACTTAAACAATCGAGTGAAACAACTTCCTCATTTGATCGAGTTCGTTCGAATGCCTTTGATTTCAAAACATTACCTTCTGGACCGAATCGATGCAGACAACTTGATACGATCGAATTTGAAATGTAGAGACTTACTGGATGAAGCGAAAAACTACCATCTGATTCCTGAACAGCGAGGACTGTTTCGCACAGATCGTATGAAACCCAGAAAATCTATGATGGGAACATTATATGCAGTTGGGGGAAAAGAAGCCGGGGAAACTATTTCAAATACTGTGGAGTGTTATAGGTAAGTTGTTTTTCTTTATTTCAATTTTTTTCTTTATTTTTAATAATACTCAGTTTTAACTCGAGGAAGGCTGAATAGCGGAAACATATTTTTATTAAAACAGTCTGGGGTAAAGCTTCTTCTTTCTCTTGTAAAACACTTTCTTAATTTGTTGGAACGATAGCTCTGTTACGATGATTACCAGGCACCTCACCACTAAGCAACGTCGCCATCAACCCACTCACCACCAAGTGAAAAGATAAACTAGTAGTTGAGGATATCTAGCTATTCGAGGATATTTAGCTATACAAGTCAATTTAATGCTCAGTGATGTTGATCCAATTTGATATTCATTTAACTGTGATTCACACAGAAGCCCATACAATATTCGTATTTCCACCGTTTACTATAGTCTGTGTCCAGTAGTCTAACCTGAACACCAAACTACAAGCTGAAGCCTTTAAGTGTTGAACCGTAACCAAAGTCACACATTGATTAAAAATCACACCTTGGGTTATATAAAAAAATTGGCACTTGAGTCTCTAATTACACCTATATTTGAATTCAGATTAATGAAGTCCAAGAGAAGTATGAAACAGACATACGTTAGAGTCACACATAGTACAAGAAAAATTGTGCTAGATAGGTGGTCTCAACTTGATTGGTGGCAACATCAATGATAACATCTTGGCACTCCCTCATTAGGAGGTAATTTTCTGGTCAAACAAAATCTATTACTATTACAGAGGCTGGATCAACATCACCTTGGCATCTCTGGCAGATATAAATGAACTAACAATATTTCTCTTCTCTTCTTTTTATTGGCCCATAGGTTTGTAGATTGGTTTTTCCCTAAATATCTTTAAATTGCTAATAGTTCTCCGACTGCACTTTTGCTGATAAATGTAAGTTTAAACTGATAGTTAAAGCTGTACGTATGCATGGTCAATTAGCCGACAATATTTTATCTCATTTTTTTTCCTTGTCATCAGTTTACAAACAAACATTTGGCAGCAAGCCCCATCACTCAATGTCCCAAGACAACAGCTTGGCACAGGAAGTTTAGGAGGCTTCCTGTATGCTGTTGGTGGTTCAGATGGATATTCACGCTTGAACACAGTGGAACGCTTTTCGTTAGAGACAAACCAGTGGATGTATGTCAAGGCACTGAATACAAGTCGCTCTGGTGTTGGAGTTGGTGTTCTTGGGGAAGCAATGTATGCAATGGGTGGCTATGATGGGCGATCATGTTTAAAAACAGTTGAAAGATATGACCCACTGGTTGATATTTGGAGTTTTGTTGCACCTACAAATATTACACGCAGTTTCCCCGGTATGTAACAAATTCCCCACAGTTCTTTTTGTGGTTGTTTGTGATCATTCAGAAAGGATGAAAATTTCATGCTATCAATTGAAATTTATGAATGGCTTATTAGTGTCAAGATACAAAACATGAATGGATTTCTTATGTGGATACTTGTCACAGTGCATATTCAAGAAGAGACTTTGGTACACACAAAAAGACCTTCAAAGGCCCACAAAGGCCAAAGGACTCACATCACTTAAATATTACAAATTAAATAGGACTTGTCAGGATATACTTATTTGAACAAGCAAGGAATTTTTGCAGATGATCAATTTAATTCTATGTGGGTGTAATATTCATTCACTCTTTTGTTGATTCATTCATTTCTTCACCCTTAGTTCTCTACAGTATAGCATGCAAAAGCAAAATTTACGAGAGGCTTTACTCTAAAATCAAGATTTCTTATTTCACAGAAGGCATATCAAAAGTTAAAATAAGAAAAGACAGTTTTTATACTTCAAAACGACTAGTAAAGTTTTAAAGGAAAACATCAGTAATTATAAATAGGAATCTTTAGATTGTGAATTGTACACAAGATAGATCATTGTTGCTAGTGAGAGTTCTAATAGGACAATCACCTGACTTTTGGAGGGCATATAGTTTATTTGTGGGCAGAATACCATCATCTGCGCCCAAGCAGAGTGAGGGTGCAAATGATGCTACGAGGGACACAAATAAATTATATGCCCTCCAAAAGTCATGTGATTATCATTATTATCAATACACAAGGCCAAATCACACAAATTCATTTAGTAAAATGTGTCAGGGCAACAAATGTCATTTACAGCCCACACTTTGCTGTTTGGCTCACAAAAAGTACTGTTTTAGAGAGGGCAGTTTGTCATTTGGCAGCATGTAGTGATAATAATTAATGTTTTTCAAACAGGAGTGGCACAGCTTGGAGACCGCATCTTTGTGATTGGTGGTAATGATGGAGTCTCATTCCTCAACTCGATCGAATACTATGATCCTCATACAAACAGATGGACTCTTCTACCCCCCATGAGTCGGCCCAGAGCTGGGATTGGTGCTGCAGCTTTAGATGGTTACATCTATGCCATCGGTGGTTTTGATGGTGCATCAAGGCTTGATATAGTTGAGATGTTTGAACCCCGTAAAAATGCATGGATAGAAGTTGCTCCTCTCAATTCATGTCGGGATGGTGTTTGTGTGATGACTTATGGTTGCTGGGTTTATGCTGTTGGAGGTATTGATGGCCCATCATATCTTAACACAGTGGAGGCCTATGAGCCAAGGAATGACCAGTGGGAAGATGTAGTTCCTATGACAAGATGTCGGGCTGCAGCAGGGGTTGCAGTTTTACACAGCCCTGTTTAATATAAAAGCAGCAGAATGCATTCTTTGTGGAGTGTCTCAGGTTTAGGGTAATTTTAGACAGTTCAGTCAACTGGAGATATGACTCTGAAAAATTCTTTCAATGTCAAATTTAAAACCTCAGTCATGCTCACTAACTCATGTCTGAACACCCCAATTGACTGATAAGTAAGAACAGCATATCATTTTGTAACATTTAATCTTAATTGAAATAAAACATTTGGTAATTTTTTTTTTTTATAAAGAAGTCAAGTGTTCTGTTCATCATTCCTGTTTGTTGCAGTTCCTTGAAATAATCAAGTCTGATTCTCTTGGAATTTGTGATCACTCTTTTTTGGTACATTTTTGCTGATAAATTCCTTTCCAGCAGACAACGTATTAATTTCCAGATTGGACACCATGATCTTCTTGATAAATTGATATTCATCTAATAACTGTCTACAGAACAATCAGCCTCATCCACTGGCAGCAATTTTATTGCTGTATGACGTTGTGGACCTTTGAACAACTACAGCTCAAGTTTGAGTAATTCTCATCAATCTCATTATTCTCCCTCGTTTGGGTCTTAATGACATCTTAATTGATGTTGTTTCACACTATACCTTCTAAGACTTGCACCTATTTGTGCTTTTTTCCTGATACATAATTCAATTTATTAGACAAAAAAGAAAACCCTCCAAGGGGTGATTGCTCATTAAAAATGGCTTTGTTTAGTGTAAGTTACTATTATTTGATCATAATTATAATACTGCTGTCATTGAGAGTACTGTGACATATTGCAAAGTAAAGACTTAACAAGAGATTATAAGGTGGTGAAATTATTTGAATTGACATCATGTAGTGAAGCATTTCCCTTTAATTAGTGCCTCTCATTTCATGCTCAAATGTCAGTAATGTATTTGAAATTGCTTATCAGTAATTGGAAAGTCTTGTACTTTTTAAGCTAGTGTATTCTTATTTGCTAGGTCATTTGGTTATATCAACTAAGTTGCAATTGTAAATTGGCCACTGTAATGAGTTCACAAGCTGATGTTTTCAGCGTTAGCCCTTTGCTCTGATGAAGGGCTAACACTTGAGACATCAGCTCTTTAACTCATTACGGTGGCCAATTTACAATTTCAAGTTAGTTGATATAACCAAATTACCTTGACGCAGCACCACAGAAACTTTCAGCCTTTATTCATTTGTCTTATTTGCTAGGATGAGAGTTATAATTTACATTAATGTATAAATTTGTTGAAGATAGTAAACTGTTAGATTAATGTAATTCTGATTGATGACTTCAGTTAGAAAGATTAAAAAATTTAAAGTACAGTAAAAACCC